TATTTATAAATGTTTCTTTTAATAAATACCTGTTTTGTCTGAAAGTGTTACTGTGTTTTGACAACTTTATTCATGTTGGTTAGCTATTTACCATTATGAATAAAATATTCAATTATTATACTGATAGAATAAGAGCTATGATGTTTACAAGTCCTGAGGGGGGAAAATTCAGTAAGAAAGCACTGCCTCCTTCTACTGTGAAATACTGAATTTCTCTGACTTTTTTCTTACTTAGAATTTAACTATGGTCCTACATATGTCTAGTATCATTTGATTACAGTTATATTTACTGTGGTACTAAACATATACAGCATCATATATGTATATATTTACATAGTGTAATTTCGAGTTGTTGGTGTTTGAGGCACAATACATTTAGTCCACACATCTAAACAATGTGTAAGAGACAAAACTGCATGCATAAGTCTTTACAAATGTAGACTTGAATATTCTCAATGTTACTATTTGATGGTGACCTGCTAGTCATTAGCTATCTTTATAAGATATTTCACACAGGTAGAAGTTCTTGTCAACATGAACAAGTCATCCTTTCGAGACAGTTTTAAAGCTAGATGTGCAGGCCCTGAAATATTATCTTGATTTCTAGCATAAAATTCCAAAATCTGTATTTAGAAACTGTGACATCATTTTGAAAAATATTACACCAATCTTCAGTGTAATACTGCAATGAAATCACGTTCAAAATTTATTGTCTAAAATCCTCTATTTGGAGGGATTTAAAAATTGAATATAGCATGTGAAGTTTCTTTCTTGGAGCAAATGCTGATATTAAAATATTTAATATATATTTCATTAATCAGTTTGTATTTCCAAAAATTTCTTTATAACAAAATGGATGTAGTCCAAATGGACAATAAGTCATGCTGTAACATGATTTCATTGCCTATCATATAGTTCTTTGAACACAAATTGTAAAACAGTCAAGCTATTAAACTGATTTATTGTGCATGCAGTGTACAATACACTTTGAAAAACTGCCTAAATACACTTATTCTATAGCCTGCAATAAAATAAGTATGTATTTAACTTGTATTTCAGTTTTTCATGAGAATGTATATAGCAAGTGCACTACAGAAAGTGAGTTATGTTTTTGTCACTTTTGCCCAGTGTTTAATATTTCTGTCGAATACAGCCTAATGCCAAATAGCCACCAATAAGCAGAGCACCTGACCTTTAGGTTTCAAAAAAAAAATGAATCTATATTGTGTTACGCATGTGTTCAACCTAGCTGTTTACAGCCAGCTTTCACATAACTGAGCTGAAAGTAGTTTGGGATACCCAGGATAAAGCAAAACCCACAGATAGTATCATGAGTATTCAAATTAGGCTGAAGGCACATATGGTATTAAGGAGACTAAAGGTATGATGGAGAAAAGACAGGCCAGTGACACAGGTGGCTGGGCTGCAGGTTAACCAACTGAGTTCCAGACCACTCGGTAGCATGGAAGTGTGGCCATAGTGCTTCCAGGTCCACAGCCCGTCCACAACTCACTTGAGTACCTGTGGAGTCCACGTGATCCATTCACAGGACAACAGAGAGTGGACACAAACCAGATTTAAGCTAGTAATAGCTCTGTTTTAAGTTAAAGGCATGCTAAAGTGTCTGTGATCTAAACCAAGCAACTAAAGGACAACTACACTCTACTTTAAACAGCCAGGGTTTAAGCTGTCACCTGATGCCAAATTTGCTTTCCTAGGCAGCAAATTTGATCACAAGGAGCATTTGTCTGTGGAACCAGTATCTAAAAACAGGTGAGGAGCTTTTTCCATAAGTGCAGCTTGCTGGACTGACCACGGCCTGAACCTGCTCAGGAACCTGCATCTTCTATGTGCAGTGAGTGCTTGTGAAAGCCATTTAATATAAGCATTCCACAATACCAACTCAAAAGCAATCAAAGCTGATACAAGAAAATCTCTAGCAACTTCCTATACCACCAGGAGCAAACCTAACACCTCCACAATGTCTGAGAGCCTGCTCCTGGCATCATTAACCCAGCCAACAGAGCCTTAACAGTCCTTATCAAATCCAACAAAGCAAAAAATTAAGGTTGCACATCAGCAGCTGCAATGTCTGCTCCAAGTTAACTTGACCCTTGTCTAACTACCAACTTCAAAATAGGTTTTGTTCTTGGCCCATAACGCTGTTGTTTTTTGAGAAGGGTAGCATGGTAGCACATTCGGAGACTCTGATGCAGTGACAAAGGTCCAGTCCTGCTCACCAATACCCTGAGTACATTTGCAATGACAGAACATCAGTCTTGTTCATGTATGTCCTGAATACTTCCACCATCAGTAGAAGTTATGTTTGTGGGATGAAAGAACAAAACAATAATGGTGCCAAAATCATCTGACAAAAACCTAACAGAAACATTGTCAGCATATTATTTAACATTACACCAAAATCCAGATTTTGCCCCTTCATTTGTCTGTGAACTCACACTGTGGAAATCCATCCTTCCAGTTTAAAACAGGGATACAGTTCAAAGGCTGACCATCAGTGATTGACTCACACTACCTTTCTTTCTTTTCAAAAGCTTTACATTAAATTCCCCCTTACTCTAAATTTCCTGACTTTTCCATACTTATCTTCACAAGCAGGGTTCACACAGTAGTAAAACTGTCATCTGGGGGGGGAGTGTTGATCTGCTTGGAAGGCAGAATGGCTCTTCAGAGAGACCTGGACAAGCTGGAGAGATGGTCTGATTCTAATGGGATGAGGTTCAACAAGACTAAGTGCCAGGTCCTGCACTTTGGCCACAACACCCTCATGGAGCACTACAGGCTGGGTACAGAGTGGCTGGAGAGCAGCCAGGAAGAAAGGGACCTGGAAGTTGGGATTGACAGGAAGCTGAACATGAGCCAGCAGTGTGCCCAGGTAAATAAGAAGGCCAATGGCATCCTGGCCTGGATCATGAATAGTGTGGCCAGTAGGACCAGGGAAGTGATTCTTCCCCTGTACTCAGCACTGGTGAGGCCACACCTGGAGTACTGTGTCCAGTTCTGGGCCCCTCAGTTCAGGAAGGATGTTGAGGTGCTGGATCAGGTCCAGAGAAGAGCAACAAGGCTGGTGAAGGGACTCGAGCACAAGTCCTATGAGGAGAGGCTGAGGGAGCTGGGGTTGTTTAGCCTGGAGAAGAGGAGGCTCAGTGGAGACCTCATCACTCTCTACAGCTTCCTGAAAGGAGGTTGTAGCCAGGTGGGGGTTGGTCTCTTCTCCCAGGGAACCAGCAGTAGGACAAGAGGGCATGGTGTTAAACTATGCCAGGGGTGACTTAGGTTGGATATCAAGAAGAAATGTTTTACAGAGGGAGTAATCTGACCTTGGAATGGGTTGCCCAGGGAGGTGGTAGATTTGCTGTCCCTGGAGGTTTTTAAGATGAGACTGGATTTGGCGCTTAGTGCCATGGTCTAGTAACCACAGTGGTGTTGGATTGAGGGTTGGACTTGAAGATCTCGGAGGTCTTTTCCAACGTGGTTGATTCTGTCATTCTATTCTATGATTCACTGTCGCAGAACACTAAAATATTTCGTTTATTAAATGCACAAATTTGGTCATTTTTCCTTTACCCTTCTGTAAAAAGGCTTCAAGGAGCTTCATGGTCAGGCAGCAGTGGGTGCAAGGGAATCTTTCAGTGGGTGAGATTTCATAAGCAATGCTGTTTATCAGCACCAGCCTAGTCACACAGACTGCATTCTCCACAAAGGTCTTCAACTGTGATTTTTACTTATAAATTATTGTTACAGTGTATTTTACCAATAAACCTTGTCCAAAATGGTGCATTTACAATCACAGGAAAATATTTTTATCCAACCATTCATTTAAATGTTTAATATTCTGAATAACAAATTCTCATGTTGGCTGTACTGCCCTTGGATTTCCATCATGGAACAAAAACTTCCAAGTTTTCATGTCTGACTAGCAAAACTACTTAGGTGTGCAAGCATTACTCTTACTTTTGATATTACATTCATGAGAATAAAATTTACTATGTATCATATGGAAGTTACAGTTATTCCATCAGTGTAATTTAGTTGTAAGGTATGATTACCTAGTTCTATTAAGACATGAACAAGGACAGAAGAAAGGCAAGGACACAACTCTGACTCCTCTAATGATTGTAATATAAAATACTGTCTAATAAAGGTCTATGGTTAGTTGCACATTTTTACAATAAAGTATATTCTCCGAACTGTTTCAAGTTTAGCCAAGAGTCTCATTAATGATCTTATCTGAAACAAGGTTACTATGCCACTCAATCTGCATATCAGAAGGAATTTGTCCAGATCACCCCACAGCATCCATTACATCAGAGTTACTAAATGACTGCATCCTCACTGCCTTCCCATTTACAACTTTGTCGTAAGAGACTGTGCCCAGATCTCTATTTTGTGAACAGGTTGTCTTTTAGTCTCATCACTAATTTCTGATGTGAAGGCACTTTGAATTGCCTTTTATTCTTCCTCTAAAAATTTCTCTAAGTGCTTAGTTTTGCACCTGCTTTCACCGTGGAGGCATCCTTCCACAAGTATTTGCATGTTCTTCCGCAGGGTACTTTAATTCTGAAAACTTCTCCTGAAGGGATAGGAGAAGGTCTGTAAGAGTAACCCGGATATCCAAAGCCACAGCTCCAACTTCCCCCTTTCACCTATGCAGCCTTGCAGGTTGCACGAAAGAGCCGCAGTAAAACGCTCAGCACCCTCCCCTCTCTCGCCCAGGAGCCCCGCTCCTGTCAGGGACCAAAAACCCACCGCGAGGTCCCTTCCGGCGCCCGTAGGGGGCGCTCAGGACCGCCCTCGCCCCGCCCTGACAGCGTTGGCCAATCAGGGCGCTCACAGCCCAGGGCGGAGCTCCGCGCGCCGCAGGGAGCCGAACGCCTTCGGCCGTTTCCGCCACCGCAGCCCCGATAATCCCCGACCACGCCCGAAGCCAGAGCCGAGCCCTTTCGGCAGCCTCCGGAAACCCGGAAGAGAGGCGGCCGAGCGCGTTCGGGTGTCTCCGGCACGGCAGTGACGCCCCGGTGAAGGGAGGGTGCTCGTGGTATCCCGCCTCAGCCGGACATGCGGCTGCTCTCGCGAGCTCTCCGCGCGGCTCAGGGCTGCCGGGCCGCCGCGCTGCCCCCTCGGAGCCTCCGGGCAGGGCCGGCCGGGAGCAGCGCAGCGGGGAGATGTCCACCCCAGCCGTGCCGCAGGCTGAGCGCCCGGCCCGGCCTGGACGAGCTGTTCGCCGCCCCGTCCTTGCGCCGGCTGCTGGAGGCGCGGGCGCAGGGCGCGGGCGGGGCGGCGCCGCAGCTGGCGGCGAGGGTGCGGCGGCTGCGCGACAAGGAGCGCGAGCTGCGCGACACGCGCGAGCTGGCGCGGCAAGGTGCGGGCCGCGGGGACATGGGCGTGTGCGGGCGCGATTGGCGGAGCAGCCCCGGGGAGGCGGGGGACGCGCCACACGTGTCACCTCGGGGGGGCGGGGGGGAGGGGGAAGGGGGGGGGACCCCCCTGCCCCAGGGGGCCGGGGCGGTCTCCTCGGGCCTTCTGGAAGTAGAGAAACCGCCTGAGCAGAGATCAAGGGTATGGGCGAGTGGGGAAAGCGCATCCACCGGCGTAGGAGCTGCTGATGCTGGAAGGGGGAGCAGCGTGGCGACACCTGTCTCTCATAGAATCACGGAATATTCTGAGTTGGAAGGGACCCACGAGGATCATCGAGTCCAGCTCTTAAGTGAATGTTCAGTACAGGGATCAAACCCACAACCTTGGTGTTAGTAGCACCGTGCTCTGACCAGCTAAAATAAAGATAATTAATCGGGGATAGAAAACTTCTAAAGGTTTTTTTAATCCCATTTTTCTTTTGCTGCCGAGACAGCCCAACCTGCCTTTCCGTCTCCATTTACAGTCGTAGACATCAACATCTGTTGGTGCTGTCTCCACACGTGATTTGACTTTGTATTGTGTCAGTAACTGCGCACTTTTAGTGCTGCCAAATAATATTTTTTTACCCAGGATCAAACTTCCTTTTGATAGCAGTTAGAAAACAAAAATGCAGAAAAGGAATACTTTTAAGGTCAGTAAACATTCATTAGATTGTGAAATATTCCCTAGATCATTTAATACTTGCTACTAAATACCAATTAATCAAAAGTGCTGACTGTAGGTGGCTGTTCTGACTAATGAAGGTGGCAAACACTGTCCAAAAACAATAGCTATTTTTTGGTATTTTTACTATTCATTCTCTTACACCTCAGTTTGAAAAAAGAGAAATGTTTCCTTTGAACGAACTAATAATTGACCCAAACTAACTTAATGAAATGGAATGGAAGATTTTTTTTCTCCTTTCAGAACCTGCTGAAAAAGCTAGTGTTATCAAAGCCAGGCTTAGAATTTCAGGAAAGTGAAGACATCACAAAGGCTTAGTCAGTAATTTTGATCGCTTCTGCAGTTAATAATTGCAAATATTTGTTTATATTATTTTAAACTGATTTTAAAGCCTGTATTGCATCTGCATCTTAAAGTATGCAAGTACTATTAATTGGTAGATTATTTCTTAATTATGTTACCAACAACTGGTTTGACTCTTAACAGATTTTTAATTCCTTAATTCTTATCCTTCCTTCTGTTGACCTTAATGACTAGCCCTTCATCAGTCAGTAGTTATGGTAAAGAAATGTAGATGGAGATAATCAAGTTTCCATGTTCAAAGAGTGACAGTTAGTCAGATAGTCAGCCATGCATTCTCTTAGCCAGCTGTAGATAAAGCATGCTTGTTGTTTAAACCAGTTTATGCATTATTATCTTTTTAATTTCCTTCTTACAGAAGTGATGGAGTTAATTCACCAATATTAAACCTAAAATATAAAGTAAAAAAAGTTTCATTTATAGTTGAGCTAGTGACTATTTGCAGTCACAGTGCTGAAAAGGTGTGGCTCTAGTGCAAGACTGCTCCTGAGCACATTTAAAAGTTTGCTGTACACAGAAAAAAGTCTAGCCCCAGCTCCCCATTTTTCATTGTATGTACCATTTTCTCCCTTTTTGGGCAATCAGAGGCTGCTTAAAATGTTGATTTTTTTTTTTTAATTATTATTTTTTCATCCCTTTGTTTGAATTTTGATATTGACAAAAAAAAAAGAAACACTTTAACATATTGAAACTGTAGTACAGAAAAAGAAGTCTTAATTGAAAAACATTAGTGTTGACCAATCAAGTGCTTCAAAATTACAAGTTCCTCTTATTATGCAAGAGTTCTCCCATAACGTTGCTTTTAGTGGTGTTTTAGAAGTTTTGCAGCTGTTCTGGAATAAATTGAGAGATATAAAATACTTGAAATTACTACTGCAGTTGTCAGATTTTTGCATACAATTATAGGGATAATAGTCCTTTTAACGAAGAGTGCCAATTGTGGGGCTGCTGTGCTCTTTAAATCCTTAAAGTTCCTGTCATACTGAAAAACAGAAAGTAATTTCTTAGAGTCACAGAATGGCTGAGGTGAGAAGGGACCTTTGGAGATCACCCAGTCTACCCTTCTGCTCAGCAGGATCACCCACAGCAGGTTGCTCAGGGTTTCACCTAGTTGGGATTTGAGTATCTTCAAGGATGGAAACTTAGAACCAATCTGGGCAACCTATGCCACTGTTTCACCACTGGCACAGCAATTTTTCTTTTTTTTTTTTTTGGTTAGGTTGGATTTTGTTTGTTTTGTTTTTTAGAGTTTCAGATTTTTCCCTTGTCTTATACCTGCACAGGATTAGAACACACTTAATATCTACTGTGTGCCTTCATTACAGATCATAGTATTAATTTGATTTTCTGGCAGGTTTAGTGTGTTGGGAGAGAGGGGCAAGTTTTGTGGTAGGTTGGTTTTGGGTTTGGGGGTTTTTTTGTAGAGTAAGTTCTTCATGTGGTTATTTTTCGGAAGGTTTTCTCAAACTGGCACTGATGTAAGTCTGAGGATTAACCATACTCAAATATTCCAGATGAGAATGAAGATTTACGGAAGCTTGCAGAAATGGAAATTGCCTCCTGTGAAGAAGAGATAGCTGAACTGAAACAACAGGTGAGATCCTCTTATAAAGCCTGTTGTTTCCTTGTCATTCTTAAATTAACAAGGCCAAATTGTCTTCTTAGGAGCATTGGAACTAGGTGATATTTAAGGTCTCTTCCAACCCAAACCGTTCTATGATGCTCATCAATATGTATATGATAAACTCTTTTCCTCCCCACCTTGCTATTTATACTCAAGTAGTGTCTGTTATCTAATAGAAATGAAAAAAGGAGATGCTACAGAGACAGGCTGTAAGCAAGTGCCTATTTGTACCTGAAAATGTTTTAATCAATGTATCTTTTTAAGCTGGTGCTATAGTTTGTCTTATCTCGATATACTATTATGGATGTCCAACTCTTTATCCCTTGGAAACAAAACTTACATAGTATCAGGCATACTAGTGCTTTTGGAAAAAAATATTTTAATACTATGTAACTACTCTAGTTGCTACCTTATATAGGTTTTACATAGTATCTGTGTTATTTGAAAAAAAAGATCATGATCTTTACAATAAAAATCTATTTAACTGAATGTTACTGGTGAAGTTGAAGCTGGTGTGGTCACATTCTTTATTCATCTGACAGCGATACAACAATCACTTTATAAATATTTTTGTAAATATTTATGGTTTTGCCAAAAGAAATAACTATCTGTAGAAAGAAACATCACCTAATGCTGGTACAGGAAGATGATTGAAAGGAATTTGCAAATCAGCCAGAGTTTTGATCCAGCATGCAAAATTGTGATACAGTTTTTTTACTTCTGTTGTATCTTTCTGCTGCAGATCAGGCTCTTCCTTTTTAAATAAATAAATGAATAATACATTTGAGTTGTTGTTGAAGGACTATCTTCTGAATATCCATACCTTCTTAGCTCTGCAGTTGAGATGGGGTTAAAAGGAAATCTGATGGGAGGGGAGGTGTTCAGTTGTCTTGCAAGAAGTGGCGTGAATCCTGCAGTGTCCAAATGTCCTCGAAGTTTTCCTAATGGGTGGAAAACTTCTGTGAAGTTTTGTGGATCTTGAGAGAAACCAGTGTAGCTCCTGTAACTGTGAACAGACACGGGGAGCCTTCCTGCAATGCAGCATCACCCCCACTCACCTCTTGCTGGCTGCTGCTTCCTCACTAAGGGAGGCATGAGAAGCCCATCCTCAGGGCAACCCAGGGGGAGGTACAGAGAACACAGCCTAGGTCAGTTACAGACTTGCCTTGGTGTTTTGTGCTGTCTCAGTTGTGGATAGTGTCAGAGAGGAGTCTTAGCTGGGTTTTTTTGTATTTACAGATAGTGTTGCTTTTGATTCCTTCAGAAGAAACAGATGAAAGTGATCTGGTCATGGAAGTAACTGCTGGAGTTGGAGGGCAGGAAGCCATGCTGTTCACTTCGGAGATATTTGATATGTATCAACGATATGCTGCCTATAAAAAATGGAAATTTGAAGTATTAGAATACTTTCCCAGTGAAATAGGTCAGTAATGAAAATACTGTAACTTCCTAATAGGAGTTGAAACAGTCATTCATATGACATTTTGATTTCCTAACTACGGGAAGCTAATTTGCACTATCTTAATTTTAGAAGTGGAGAATTGTTTGAATGTCTGAGTACAATTTTCCTCAGCTTCTGTATTTGAGAATGAAATTCCATTTCAGAAGTACTATTAAAATACTAAAGTGCCAAAAAGAAAACTTGTCTTTCAGTAGTTTCATTTCTACATTTTGAGAATACTGAAAGACAGATGCTTGACAGAAGGAAATTCAGAAAGTGATGGTGTTGTTTTAGCTTTATTTTTTTTATTTTTTAGAAATACAGATTATATATACTTTTTAATGGATACAATCTTCAACTTAGTTAATGTTTTAGTGCTTATAGGTCAGTTTGGTGGCAGTTTGAAAGTCTGTTTATTATTATGGATTGGCAGAGAGGAATCAGTTTTATTAAAACAATTTTTAAAGTTTCATCTAAAACATCATGAATTTATTTGAAATATGATCTGATGTTAAATACAGCTAATGGATGAGCAAAGTGGGAGGATTGTTGAGGCTTTGAGAGGAGAGATAAGAGATCTAATTATTTTTAAAGTCTTCAACTAAAATGTCACAGGTAATCAGCTTACAGCTTCATGCCAGTAAAGGATGTTCCTCCTTTCTACCTTTTTCCTTATTACATCTCTGCCTGTCTGAGCAGTCCCACCTATTTTTTTTCTGTCTGTTTTGATGTCCTTTCACTTAAACTGGCAAAGACTTTTCTTTTTATGACTGGGTTATTTTTTTTTGCCTTGTCAATGTGTTAAGCCAGTTCTCATGAGCCTGGGAGCTAACTTAGGATAAGCAGCAACATGGGACTGAATGCAAGGAAGTGGAAAAACTGGATCTTCTGGTGCTGATGAGCTGTGAATTTGGTTTAGGAGCAATGCCTTTGAAGAGGTGGGGATTGGTAGTTTTACACAACAAACTGAGGCAGTGGCGCAATAGTTAATTTTAGCTTAATCCAGATAGTGTGTAAAGTTGTTTCACAAAGATCATCTTGCTGTCTCTGCATTGTTGCTGACTGCTTTGCATTGACACTTGTGATTGTGCATCTTTGTAGAGTCTCATCACCAAGTCAGTTCACCTGAAAAATTGCACACACACAAAAAAATCAGTTGGTTTTCAGATAATTGGCACAAGAGAAGAGGAGAAATGTTCACAGAGGTGCTGGAGGCAAAGGGTGTGGCTGCTGGTGGTGGCAGTGAGAAAACAGGACCCTCTTCCAGCAGCAAGAGGTTCAGCAAGCTTAAGCCTACCATGAAACTGCAATCCAAAACATGGCCAGCCATGGCAGGGCTTTTGGGTTTTGATTAACAGATTGCTAGCCACATTTCTCAGTAGGATAGATTTGTTAAGTCTGTCTGTGTTAACAGATCTACAGCCTTAGTTATCCATGGTGTCATTAGTAAAGGTAGCACATTCTGCTTATTTGGATATTGCTGTGGAGGTAATGCATATGTCCTAGTGGGTGTGGGTCAGTAGATGGGCACTTGTGCAGCTTACTGCTCCTAGCTCAAATTGGTTGTGAAACTTCGCCTCTAGTCATACTTTCATCAATTTTTTTTTTTTTGTGAAAGTTAGAGAAATTAGAAAAGCTAGGGTGCTAGGATATGCAATCTGTCAGAAAAACTCTAATATTTTTTCAGTCAACACTTAATATAATTGCAGAGAGTTTTTTAGCAAGCTTTGAGAAATGTGAAGCATCCTTTAACACTTCTTCTGTTTACTTACACCGTATTTTGGACTCAGTGATATTTTCAAGTATCTTGAACCTTTCTGTTTCAACAGTGTAGAAATTCACAGCAAATAAATATTCACAACTCTCCCAGCTGAGCTTCTGATGGCAGTGAGCTGCTTTCCCCTTCTAATGAAGGTCCTTCTGTACCGTAAAGAAGGATCAAAAATTGGGCTCCATGGAAGAAATGCAGTTGGATGTCACAAACTGACACCTTGAAAATCTAGGTTTAGGATTGATATGTTGTCTGTATTCACACTTCAGAAAAAGGGAAGCCCTTGTCTATACCTATGTCTATATACTGTGGATTTCACTTACACTTCTGGTTTCTTAAAATCTTTATTTGAATTGATTTTAAAAAATGTTATGTCTGTAAAATGTCCCAATAACTTTCTTTAGCGTTCTTAGGAGGTATCTTATTTCAAGCTGATGAACATGAATTCAGGTTTTCACAGTATCAGCATCCCCTTTTAGAGTGACTGCTGACAATTCAAGTAATACACTTTTTTCACACAAATAATACACTTGAATTCAGTATTCTCTATTATCTATCTTTGTTACTATTAATAAACTTTTTGTATTTTCAAGAAGTCATTTGCCAAGTAAACTGTTTGCTCAGTGCAAGTGGAGGTAGGGACAAGAAGCTTCATATTACAGTACATCTTGTTGCTGAAAGAGCAAAGTCATATTCATCCCCATTTATGACCAGGCAAATGCTTTGCCAGGAGCTGAGCCAGTTCAGCCTTCAAAGCCAACAGGAATCTGTTTACTTTCTTTTTTGAAAGTAAATGGAATAAACATTGTACCGCTGAGATGGGTGTAAACAGAAAGAGGAAAAGGTCTGGGTCTTCTTTTTATCATGTATAATGGGGAGAGGAGTGTTACCCTTTCCACTGAGGCAAGACTTGGATCAGGTAAAGCCCAGCAGTCACATACACTTCACCTTCAGAGCACAGTTTCATAGTCAGCTTAAACAAGGGTTGTCTCACCTTCTAGCCAGCTGTATGTTTTCTTCTCTCTCAGCTCTAGCAATTTTGAGGCCCCAGTGCTAATTGGATCAGTTCACTGATTTGGCTTAAAAGCCCTGCTATGGGATAGTTTTTAAGTCAGGACTCAGCTTGCAGAGTTCTATGGTTGGAAGAGAAAGGGAGTTGGGTTTGGCTACCCTTTTGATGAAAGTCCTTGGACAAAGAGCCCATAACCTCATAGGCATTCTCATTAATGCCTTAAATAGGAAATTGAAGTGATATATTAACCTAGTATATATCTACCTGTATTTTCTCTTTTAAAGGGCTAGGTTTTTAATGGCTATATATTTATTTCAAAATCTGCTGTTTTGCTGAGAGCTTACCTGTGCACTGAAATTAATGTCAAGGAAAGTAGGATGTAAATTTTGGGAAAAATAAAGACAACCCTAGCTTTTGTCAACTTCTTGTGTATTTTTTGGTCCTGCATGACCATATATTATCAAAACAGATGCTAGAAATAAATTGGGAAGTAGGGGCACTATGCATGGCACTGCCAATGAAAGGCAAGTTTGAACCCTCGGTTTCAAATTGTCTACACTGTGCTGAGTGGAGCTAAAGATGCTGGTGGCACTGGGCTGTTGCACCCTGTCCTCGCTCCATTTTTATCAATTGCATTAGCAAGAGCAAGGTCCTACTCTTAAAATGTCAAATTCCCTCATTTCTGAGAGCTCCTGAATTTGACTGAAATCTGAATATGAGCGTGTGTAAATGAGGTGAATGCTAAATAAAGCTGCAGTTAAAAAGTGGTTTCAGTCTACTCTTAAGTTACTTTATTGACATACTCCAAGGGATGCCACTGTGCAAAAATAGCACATTGAAAATTTAGTGCACACATTAAAGAACAAACCCATGTCATTATTTATCCACTGCCTCTCACTCTGTAGTGGCAGGCAGAGACACAGATGTGGGACTTTGTCTCAATCTGGGTATAAGATGCCCCATTAAAAAATGAGTACAAACACCCTTGTTCTGTGCAGATCAGATTTCAGGATAGAGTGGGACATTTAATATGAAAGGGGCAAGCACACAGTTAGCAAGAGCTAACTACATGTGACAGGCCTACAACATGTCTGCCAGGGTAAAGGGTTTGTTGAAATTTTATTAGATTTGGCTGCGTTTTGTATTAAACCCATGTTGGTAATGGTTGATTCAAAGCAGTATGACCTAAATACCTGTCATCTGAACCAGTTTCTTGGTCATCTTATGCTGAACCCTACAGTGCCACAGGCACACTGTTACTACTACAAACTAAAACTCTCCTGAACATGTCACAGACATGGGCGCAGCTCAGACAGACTGACTATACCCATGGTATGAATATTAATGCCAGGAGAAGTGAGAGAGAAAAGACAGTAAGTTAGCTTTTGCAATTAACTGTTTATCACATAATTAATACTTGTCAGCAGTACTGTAACCTTGTGGACAGTCACATTATTTTTACTCCTGACATAACCTGGCTTCTTCCTCAAATCTAGAGGTGTCATGTGATCTTTTTAGTACTTGCTTTCATATATAAAGGAGTAAGTAAGATTTATTACTTAACTACATTCATTATTTTAGGTTACATAAGATTCTCTTAGAGTAAAGAAGAGATTTTTCATTTATTCAAATAGTGTTTGCATAGAAGTAGGAAGATTGCACACTACTTGTTGAAATTAAACTTCCTGATCTAAACTAAAGATTTTGAAAGATTGTATTTGTTAAACTACATGCTCTGTCATCAGTTAACTACATGCTCTATTATCAGATTTATTCTAAACATGACAGACTCATCTTACAGAATTGATAGTGGATAATGGCTATAAATTACATCACTGAAGCACTAGGTATGCTGAACAGTGTATTTGAATCAAAGTGGTACAGTTTTATACAAGTAGGAGAAAAATTTTAAAAGTCAGACGGACAAGAATTACAAGGAATAGAAAGGAAGAGGCAGTTTAGGCTATTTTCAACAAACATGACTGTAAGAGTAAATTTATTTTAGTAAAGTTGGGGGGAATGTTAAATTTCTCTAGAGTAAAAACATTTGCAAACCTTGTCCATGGAGATGAAAAAACTGGCCTGTGTTCTGGCTGCTGACTTTTTGCTGCTCTGCAGGGCATTTTCAGATTCTATGTTGTCTTTATTTTCCTTTTTTAAAAAGCTTCTATCTTGCCCCTGTGATTGAGTTCCTCACTCTGAGAGACAGCCTAAAACTGTATTTCTGCAAAGTATGTGCCACTTCTCAGTTGTGGTTTCACGTTGTAAGACTTAAACAGCAATACTCTTTCAAGGCCACCTATCTCTTCTTCAGTCATTCCCTTGGCTCACCATCTACTGTGCTGAGAATGGGATTTGGGAATCGAGCTGCATTAGAAACCAAAATGAGTGAAAAATTGTATTCATTTGTAGTGCCATCACTTCTCTGATCCTTCAGTTATATTGCACATAAGCAAACAAGCAAGAGCAAGAATATCATACACTAGTAGAGCAATAAACTCTTTCTGTCATGAAACCATGATTGCATTAGGCTTTACTTCCAAGTTCCAAGCTGTTCGGTGCTTGTAGTACATTGATGTCAAATTTTGCCGGAGGTATTGGTAAGAGGTGCAAGAATTGGTGTTCTACTCACGCCAAGGAAGCAAAAGGTTAAAATGAAATAAAAAAGTGAAGACACATGGGTAGGATGCATAGAGGAGAATGGATAATGAGAAGAGTATGAATAATACTCATCATTCAGTTATAGGGAGCTGGTTCTTTTTCTCCCATTGAATGATAGGTTCTGAACTAACAATAAAAAAATCGATGTTTCTGAAAGCAGCTTTCAAAATTTGATCTTTATGTAAACTTGCTACTGGTGTTAGAGTTCTATCTTAGGCACTCTTTTTATGTATATAAAAAAATTAAATTGGACTCTATAAAAATAATCTGACAGTCCTTTAGTTGAGATGGTGTGTGAGTATGCATGTGTGGCTTTAAGATTTCTCTTGCAACTGTAATACTGCCTAAGTGTTTAAATGGTAAATTCATAATTTTAAGAAACAAATGACAATGATGTCTAAAGACACTGTTTGAAGTACAACAGCATAACACCAGCAGTTCTTATGGGTCTACAGTTGTGTTTCTTCTGTATTTAAGGTGGCCTAAGACATGCAGTAGCCAGTATAGCAGGTCTGGAGGCTTACAAATACATGAAATTTGAAGGAGGAGTGCATCGTGTTCAGCGGGTACCGAAGACAGAAAAACAAGGACGCATTCATACCAGCACAATGACTGTTGCAATATTACCCCAACCCACTAAGGTAATATTTATATTTTAGTATAACAGACTTTACCACAAGCAGTGTTTGATACCCGAGTGTTTTTGTCTCTCTTTTTATTCTCACTTAATGACTTTTTTTTTCTTCTTAATTTTAAACTAAGTCATATTTATTTGTTTATTTTTATTTTTTATAATAGGGGTGAAATAAAGAATTTCCGTCTTTCCTTGTAATCCTGATCTCAAAAAAGTCACTGACAGTTCCCTTAACTATAACTCAAAAATTCATTGTTACTCTGTCTTTCATGTTTTGTGGAAAACTACGTTTTCTACAAAGTAACCTAAGACTGACTTATTTTACAGGGCTCATAGATACTTCCTTTAGCACTTCCTCTTTTCCATTTTTGTACTGTCCTCACTTGCCCCTTCCAGAGTGTATACGTCAAGTCTCACTATATTTGCTTGGTTAAAAGCAACTGGCTAAGAAATAAAGCTTTGTTTTGATCTTTGTTTCATATTGAACTAGCAGATTGTCAAAGATGTTACTCCTTGCTGTACTCTCTTGAAGTTATCTCGTTCCTTTCTCACAGAGCCTACTGCTCCATTCCAGAACTAGAAAAGGGAATATCTTCCATTTTATCTAAAAACCATCTGGTATCAAGTTCAAGTATTGGTTAACTCTGCTAGAAGAAGAGGGTGCAGGGCTTTCAGAAGAGGGGAAAATGAGTGCTAAGGGATAGTTATGTGTTAAGCTACTATTTGTCTGATTTCCTGGGTTCCATTGTGTTGGAAGTCCAGTCCGACTACGAAGATTTGTTAATATGTTTACACGTGGATGTGAGCTACCACTCATAATCTTTAAAAAGTTTGATCTTGCATGAATGTGCCTTATAAAATAAACTGACTGTGCATATTTGATACCTGTATGGAAAGAAACAATATAAATACATTCTTTGTTTGTTTTTCTTTTTTTTTGGTATCTCATGACAGATGAGGCTGCAAATTAATCCAAAAGATCTACGGATAGAAACAAAGCGAGCTAGTGGAGCTGGAGGCCAGCATGTCAATACCACAGATAGTGCTGTAAGGATAGTTCATATTCCAACAGGTGCTTCATTTTTTCCTTACTACAAGATCTACATTGCCAAACTGTTGTCAGAATTTCTTTTGAAACGATAGTTGTATTTTCAAACCTGGACAACAGCAGAGCAGAGTTTTCATATAGTTTTCATGTCTTTTCATAGTACTCTAAATGCATCATCCTGTGCCCACTCCAATTTTTAGTAGTAAGGACTACTGGCTTCAGTAGGTAAGCTATCCATTTGCCACTAAACATGACACTCTACAAGCACCCAGATCAATTTCTGTCAAAAAGTTATATTTAAACTTTCAAATAATGAAAATGATACTAAAAAATGGAGTAGGTTGAAATCTGATGATTTGCCATTTCTTGACTAGTCTCCAAAAGAGAGATTGCTCTATTTCCATATTAAAATGTTGCTTTTAATTGCAGAGTCTATTCAGGATGCCAGCTTCCCTTTGTCTGCTGGCTCCTTTCCTATAGATAACACAGATAATTAGGAGGCCCATCCCTCTGGCTCAGGTTAGGAAACATAGGAGGGATATGGTACACCATCAAATGCTACCTGATTTTAGCTGTCATATATTTTTTTATTGCCGTTCCTAACCCTTTTACTTCCCTTTGAGCAGTCTTCAACAGCTGCCTTGACTTTCATGGCATTTTAACTTTTCCTCTTCTCTACTACAAACATTACTCAGGCTTTACAGCCTCAGGGTAATCCCAAGTGCTCTTTATCTTCATGTATCCAGATTTTTGCCACTGATCTCTTTGTATTTGTTTAAGACATTGATCCATTCTGCACTTGTTGCGTCACCTTAATAAAGTAGAAGATAAACAGTAGAGAGGATAAAATTCCATATATCACTATGTCATGACAAAAGATACTCCAGATTGAAAAAGTTTTGGATTGCCTGCATGTTTGGATAAAAACACAATGAACTAAAACCAGCAGTTGATCTTAGTTTTTGCTGAATGTAGATATTAGGGTATGTTATAGAAATGTTAAGGTGTATTGCAAATATTTTCATGGTTATATATGGCTAATAGGGGGATTTATATATCACCTTATCTCTTCACTTTTTCCTGTTCCACCATTCTCTTCTTCGTTTCTCTGATCTCACTTCCCTTACAATTGTCCTGTTACTTCTATTTCTCTCATCCTAAATATTGTTTAAATCTTCATTGCAATCCAGCAGGTTGTTTATAAATAAGTCTTTCATAAAGTAATACTATGTAGTCTTATAAAACATACTTTAATATTACCAGAGTTACTTAAAATAGATCCAAATAACAATTTAGCTTGTGCTGTTTTCTTCCTGTATTTCTTCTCCCTACTCCTTTCTTGGGCTGTTCATTTCTTGTCTTGAATTACATGCTTTGGGATGAGAAAACACACTTTTTGTGGTTGTTGTTCATAAAATAGTGCCCACTTTTTTATATTCTGATCATATTCGATACACTCGTTATCTCATGTATTTTACTGCTCCTTAAATCTTACATTTCCTGGAACTGTGACCAAAAATTACAAGTATTCAAGGTGTCTTCTGTAAGTCAGATCACATTACATATCTTTTATTTCATTATCCACCTGTTGTCCAACATGTGGAATTAAATTTCTTGTCATATGGCTTAAAACACCTGTACAACTCAGCCTGCACTTTTTTCCCAAAATGTATTATTAGGTATTAGTAAGTCTGGACTTCTACATTCCCAGTCCAAATTAAATATGGAAGAAAGAAACAGTTTAATGTAACATAATAGAAGTCGTCTAGAAACTGCAAAACTATTTTAGTATGTGTTACTCTTAAGTGCTAAATGTCATGATATTTTTGACAGGGATCGTGTCTGAATGTCAGCAAGAAAGATCTCAAATTAGAAACAAAGAGAAAGCTATGCAAATGCTATGTGCTAAACTCTACAATGCCAAACTAGAAGAAGAAACTAAAAAGAGAAACAGTGTTCGAAAGATTCAGGTAAGTTTTGTTTAGTAACAATATCATTCTGTACAAGCATGTGTTCTTAGGGTAACTTCTGTGTTGAACTGCAAATAGTAAATGGAAATATAGGGGAACTGGAGCCCAGGAGGGACTTACATGAGGAAAAAAAAAATCATAGAATCATAGAATGGTTTGGGTTGGAAGGGATTTTAAAGGTCATCTAGCTCCATCCCCTCTGCGATGGACAGGAACACCTTCCACTAGACTTCCCTGAAAAACAAGAAGTTGTGGAGTCCAAAGCTTCTCTGGACAACAAAATTACATTTTACTTCAGCAGTAGAGGTTGTATATTAACCAGACTTAAAATTTCACTGGTACATAAATTCTACAGATCCAGTGAAACAAACTGCATGTTTGATTGCAGCGTGAAGAACCAGAATAGTATTAGAAAAAGATGGAGTAAAATTATTCTTTTATATGTTTGAGAACAATTACTGCAGCCACTGAAGTGATCTGAGTCATATGTAACTATAACAAATTTTGGATAATCATGAGAGGAAAAGAAACCTTTCACTTTAGATGCTTAATCAATATTTCATAATTTTTTTATAAAAAGATTATTATAAACTCATTCTTCTTGTTCAATAGATTGGGACTAAAGGAAGATCAGAGAAGATCAGAACATACAACTTTCCACAAGACCGGATTACAGACCACAGAATAAGCAGATCAGTGCATCACATTGAATCTTTCATGCTAGGAGAAGAAATGCTAGATGAAATGATACAAACTCTGAGAGAATATGCTGATTTTGAATCTTTAATGGAAATTATTTCAGAAAATGAAAAAAAAAATTCCTCCTGAACATTACTCTTTATCAGCCCATTAGAACAGATGTTGTAAGGTCTGCAAGGAAGCTTCTTGGAATACCACCGAGAAAATGGAACTGCTTTTCAGGTCATGAAAAACACCACAACTTCTTTCCTCGTGACTAATAAACAGTTTTCTTACTTGCTGAGTAAAAGACTTTATTATCTTCATATGAGATACATTATTGCTGCAGCAGTCCATTTGAAAAGTAAATTTGACTGCGTCAGAAGGAACTGCGGTTTTTAGTTTTCTCCACTGAGAAGATACTGATACACCACTCTTGAAAGGTATGCGCACATTAAAAAATTAGCTATTTGTAGTTCCAGTTTTCGTTTAAACAATAGCTTAAACATCAGTACAGTGTCAAATAGCTTACTTGAGAGATCAAGAAAAAACTTAATTTCTTTGAGTGATTCTACCTATATGCATATCTGTTAATCAATTAAAATGTCATGAGAGGGAGTCTAAGTGTATCTTCATCATGTTTTCATGCCCTTCAGAACAGAAGTCTAGGAATATCCCTTTTTCCAGAAAAAAAAAAAGCTGTGGAAGCCAAGTGACAAATCATATGAGTTGATTTTTGAAAGAATGTTTCTGTTCTTGAGTCCAAAGTGAATTGTTACAGTATTGTTCGGCTGATACTTTAGTCTCCACTTCGCTTCGCTTGAGTTTCTGCTTTATGCTTTTAATTGACCCTCCAATTTATTGATTTTCTAAAAGTTACATGGTGTGACAGACATCTTAGTGTTTTTGTCTATCTATTTAACAGCATTGTAAGGCATTCGATACCTTTATCAGCTTTGTTTTTTAGTAAACACTGCATGGTAACTACGATTAAGTTCCAAATCTTTTAATTAAAGACACGCACATTAACTTCAGATGTAGGAATATCTATATGCGTAAGGTAAGGCATACATGTATCCTGTTGGTAAGCATGAGACCTAGGTCTGCATTTACTAATAGTTTTACAACTCCTAACTGGCACATAAAAGTAAAAAGAAACATTGACTCGTTAGATATCGATTGGCACAGAAGCTAGGACTGAAGTCTTTGTTCCTACCAGATCGGTACAGCAAAGACTACAGAGCACTTGTGAGAGTCTTACTGACTTAACTTAAAGCCAGGCTTTCTTACATCCAGTGATGGATGGAGTTAGCAGTTCTTTCTAACTTCAGCTCCATATCCATCCAAATAAGAGACATCAACTGGGTCTGAGCACTGGATTACTGCATGAAAAACTTGGATAAACTTGTAGCCCGTCTGGCCAAATCCTGCCTGGCTCACAGCCTCCCTCTTCTCATCTAGCTCTTCAGCAGACACTAGAGGTGGTGTTGCCTTGCAAGTGACCAGCCTCTGACCAGTGTGAGAAAAACCAGACATGATGTGGTTCTAGCAGGAGCCTGACTGAGGTATCCTAAAACTGGCATCTGACAGGACTTTGCTGTCCTCCTTGGCTCATCATGGCAAGCCTTACTCTATATTAATTTTAACACAAGCAACTTCTCTGAGCTGTAAGCAGATTGCATTTCCAGCAGCAGCAGCAGAGATCCTTGCATTGGTGTCCAGTCAGCCTAGCTTCCAGTGGCACTTCTCATCACACTTCAGCTGCTAATAGCATTGGTCATGCTTTAAAATAAATACAATTATTTTATGGGAAGGAGCCCAGATGCAAGATCCACCACCAGACTTAAATCACAGAACCTCCCTGCTCAGGCAGGGTCCTGAGAGATCCTTGAGACTGGATGTGGCACTTAGTACTGTGGTCTAGTAACCACGGCGGTAATGGACCAAGGATTGGACTTGGTGATCTCGGAGGTCCCTTCTAACCCGGCTGATTCTGTGATTCTATGATCCTATGATCCTAGAGCACATGGCACAGGATTGCGACCAGACAGTTCTTGAATATCTCCAGTGAGGGAGAGAATCCTTCCCCGACAGAGGAGCTTTGCACATTGGGAGCGTGTCAGGATGATGGGAGAATCCCAGGCTCACCCATTTAAAAAAACCAGGCTGAGCTTAGGCGCGTCACTCCCGGGGCGGGGAAGGCGGCAGTTCCTTGGGGAGAGCGCCGCGAGGCCGTGCGGGTGCCGGAGGGCGGGAGGAAGGGGCGGGCGGGACCCGCGGCCGGGCGGGAGCCACAACCGCGCGGGAGCCGTGGCCGCGCCGCCCGCCTCCCTCAGAGCCGCCAGGGAGGGAAAACGCCGGGCCGGGCCGGCACCGCCCCCCGCGCCCCGCATTGGCCCCCGCCTTCTGCCCGCCTCCCATTGGCCGCGTCCCGCCCGCGGGCGCGGCGCGATTGGCCGGCGCGGTTTTGGATACCAAATTCAAAGTTTTTAAAAAGCGCCCGGCGAGCGCGGACCACGCACTGCCCGCTGGCGCCGCAGCAGAGGTGAGAGCCGCGCCAGGGTGAGCCATCCGTCCACCAGCCGGTCCGCGGCTGTGGGGCTCTGTGCTCAGGGCTCCGCGGCTGGACCGGCTCGGGCCAGTGGGGCTCCGCCGTCAGGGCTCCGTGAGCGGGGTGGCGGGGGCTGCCGGCGTACGCAGCGGCGGGACTGGGAGTGCTGGCGGCGCTGCATGGTCATGATGGGCTGGGGAGGGGGATCCCCGGCGGCCGCCCAGTCCGGCTGCCCTCCGCAGCCTAGCCCCGCAACTATCCCGCCGGCGGGACGGGATGGGATGGGACGGGACGGGACGGGGCGGCGGCACATGGGCGGCCACGGAGCGCCCCGATCCTGCCAGCGAGCCGCATGTGGGGTGCTCAGGGCTGCTCGCCACACTGGCGGGGCTGAGCCCGGGTCCGAGCAGGGGTGGGGAGCCCAGGTCGGCTCCCGCCGGCGGGCAGCGCGGGCGGGGACGCGCCGCGCTGTCTCCCGCCCGCCGGACCACGCCGCCGGAGGGGGCATCCACCCGGCGCGCTCCTGCTCGCCCGCCACCAGCATTTTAGGGGGAATTCTGCAGTGCTGGTGAAAGGGGAGACCCCCAAAGGCGCAGGGTGAGGGTCCCGGGGCCGTGGGGCACGGTAGAGCCGGGACCCGATCTACCTGCCGCCGATTCGGGCCATCTTGAGCTCTGGGCGGGAGAAGCCTGACAGCGCCGCGGGGGCCCGCGGCTGAGCCCGCTCCTCCGGAGGGTCAGGGCCGGCCTTGATGGGGGGACATTTTCCAATTCATTAGTATTTCAGCCCAAAAGTTCCAAGGAAGGGGGGAAGGGAAGGAGGAAGCTTAGCGAGGCTTACATCTCTCACCTAACTCACACTACTCAAAGCCATAAGCGTATTTGCTCCTTTCTTCCACTAAACGTAGGTACAAAGAAGGGACTTTTTCTCTGAATCGTTCATGAAACATTTTTCTAATGCTTCTTTCCAAAACTGCTGGAAGTGCTTAAATCCTTTAAAATTCTTGCTCAATGGGGGAGCTTATATTTCCTACGGATTACAAAGCATGTTGAAAATTATTTCCCCTTTAGATTTAACAGGGCAGCGATGGCTTCCTTCTCCCCTTCAGCCCTCGCCCATCCCCCCGCAATTGTTAATATAGATAGCACCGTATTTCGGGGTGGAGGGGAAAGAAACAGGGCGAGGAAAGCTCAATTTCCCTATGGTATCTATTGACCTCTCACTCTCTTAAAATCATGCTTGTAAGTAACCTTTATTTCCCTCCGGCCACTGTTTAGGGGTGGCTGCTTTTCTTTGTAATTTACACATCCATGTGAGCACTTGAGTTTTTCATGTGCCATACAGCCTCTTCCCTTTTTAAAAATGCCAGATACCTGACTGCAGCAGCAGCATTGCCTCTGGTCTTGGATGCAAACTTTAGGCTTTTCTGGTCCGGATTGTCACTCGTGGACCCTCTGCCACTGGTGTCCCTTGCAGGGACCGCAAGTGTCCTGCCTGTGTCGCTACATTTAGGGTAGCTAGTGGAGGCATTGGTGTGCCTAAAAGTAAACTATTCTGGTGGAATGGTGACAAAGTAAATCGGCCAGTTCCTAGCCCTAGTTATATGCAGCATAAAACTCGAGTTTTGAGATGATCTTACATAGATTGAATTACATAGTGGCTCTTGAAATCCATAGTTCCACTAGTTGTATTTCAGACGCTAGAGAGTGAGTTAGATAACAGTATAAAAGTCATAATGCAGAAGGAAGGAATGGTCAATTCTTTATAAGAAGAATAATTTGTGATGCAGTTTACACTGTGTTGTAATACTATCCTTGTTTCTTGCAGGATACAAACAACAAAATGAAATCAAACCTTAACCGCTCTTGCAAAATGAAACGTGATTTTGACTGTGCATCTCTTCATGCTGGATTTGCACCACTGAAATCTGCTGTGGAGAAAACAAGACTGGAAAAATCCTGCCTCTTGAATTACAAGGAAGGCTTTTGTAAAAGCTGCACAGAAGAGCATCAGAAAATATTCCCTAGTGACTCATATCATGCAGCCACCAGAAATCTAGAACTTGAAGATGGAGGAAAACCGATATATAACAAAGAAAACAAACAAGTGACCCAGAGACTTGATGAAGTTATCTGTGAAATGGAGGAACTGGAAAACAGTAAACTTAATGAGGACAGTGGTTATTCCTCTATGTTAAATACTCAGTATGCTGATACAATAGAACATGAGGATAGTATACCTTTGGCTGGGAATCTCTGTGTCACACCAAAACATTGTCTCAGGAAGAACCAAAACCAAGAACAGTTTTCAAAGAAGACTTTACTGCCAGTAAGCCATTATGAAGACATGATTTGCTCGACTTTGAAAAAAAATGGTAAAAGAAATCTCAAGTCTTGGGCTGCTATAGACAGAATTGTTTTTAGGGGAAAAGTTGAACTTTGTAACTTAATTGGAAAGAAAATGGGGCTAGATAAAATAGACATTTTTGCCGAGCTCTTCCAAAAGAACCTGAAGCATATATTAGCAAACATTTTAAGGCATCTCAGCGAGGTGGATTTAATCAAGTAAGTATATTGATCTCATTGTATTTCATTGGGAAAGGAAACAGCCTAGTCAGATGGCTTAATGATTTAAGTATGGGGCTTGTGACATTTACTGAATGTTTAGTATTATGTGTTAGTATGTTAAAACATGAACTGACAATGTAAGCTGTGGAGAATATCTTTTCCCAAGAAGGCAATTAAAGACTACAACTGTGAACATGTTCCATATTTACATGAAGGAAAAAGATTACAGTTATTCTTGCTATTAAATAAATCCTTTCCCAGGAGGTAACTGATATATTTGTATTGTCGTTGCAGTTTTGCCAAAGTCAGCACGACATGGCGGAAGATTCTACAAGAAGATAAATGGATTTTCCAAATGTATAGTAAAGCTGTGAAAAACCTCTCTGTAAGTTGCTGTACCTGTTAGATAATTTGTGCCTGAACCATCAGTATCTTTCTGCTATTTCAGGACTTAGTCTTAAGAGATCACAGAAGAGTTTCTTAGGTTGAAAACTGTCACTGGAGTGTCTGAGCTTGTCCTGTCAGGGTGCCCTGTCTCAAGTGTTGCTAGTCACATCAGTGTCTTTGGGGACCCCAAGGAAGGTTGACTGAGAAGGTGACCCAAGGAGACACGCAGATGTTCTTAGGAGCTTCCACATGTCCTGTGTTACAGAGAAGGGCAAGAAGGAGAGGGTCACTTCCAGCATAACCTTAGAGACTCAGTAAAAGCTTGCTGATCCAGAAGGGAAAGAGACTGACATAAACCACTCAGCTGACTGTGCGACTGGGGATCTCCGTACTTTCTTGCAGCAGTCTCCAAATTCCAGTGTGTTGGCTACAGAAAACTAAGAAGTGTTTCATACTGTGAGCTATTCCTAATGCCTCTTTAT